TTACATCCTCATTTTGAACTGGATGTTCCGTTTCTAGATATTCTGATTTTAAAGTTTGATTAGGTATCACATTTAGCATGTCATCATAGTATTCATTTGTAGCCAATTCACGTGTCTTTGGTGAATTTTCAATTGAGTTTTTGTCCTCTGTATTCTGTTTGTCAACAAGCGAGAACTGTTGAACAGGTGGTTCCTCAGTTGATGATCTTTGTTTATCAAGAAGTGAAACAAGTTTGGTGCTGGATTGTACCCCAAAGCCTGATCCAACCCTGAAGGAATCATCTGCCCACTGTACTTTGATTTTGCTGTTCTTTTCTGGGTTGCCTAATATTATTGTTCTTGGAAAGTCTTCCTCCTCAGCCTCCATAGTTGTTCTGATCTTGCACCCCTGTCTTAAAGTGACAAAAAGAAACTATTACAATGTAAACAAGTTTGAAGACTATGGTATAATTTCCATAAGAATGGTAATTTTTGCAGTGAAAGCAATAAAAATTGTCCTTGCTTGACCTTAAGGACTCATTTAAAGTGGACACGGATGCATTGTTTACATTTTAATTTTTTATGTTTATTAAAAAATAACTTCAGTTTAATGAATGGAATTGATAAATTATCTTAGAACTCAATGAGAGCAATATTCTTTATTACATCACATCAATATCTGTGTTTCTTAATTGTTCATGTTTACATTTTGGTAGCTAAACACAGTTTCGTATAAAATCCAGGGGGTTTTTCCCAGAGAGAAGCAGCTGGGTAGGGATTTTTTAATGTCTAGATTGCATCATTTTTGTTTTTATTCACATAAATAACTTATCTTAATATTTAAAGAAAAAAATGTGCATTCAGTTTCCGGTTTTCACATTGCAGAACAAATCACTTTCATAGGTGGAAAATGTATGAAAGCACACTAAAAGAAAAAACTTGTTCTGTGAAATGCATACAATTATTTTGTCTGATTTTTTCTGTTTTTGTTGAGCAGGGGGGTTAAAAATGCATAGGTTTTTATTTCAGGTGTCAAATACCCCCTAGTAGTAATTGATGAATGTATTTACTGGATATTTACAAAATTCACAATTTTATCTTTCCATTTTGCAGAAGTCTATTAACAAGCCTCCATTTTAATAGGGGTCACTTGTTATAAATATTAACTACATAAAACTGTGTTTTGTGTGATGTCCCACATTTATTTGCATGTAAGTTCATAGAAAATTGCTTTATTTGTTTTAATTTATGTAGTTAACCATACAATATAATCTCAAGTTGACACTGTGTAAGGCATAATGCCTATTAGATACATGTTCCATAGAATTTATACATATGATAAGGATTCAGGGGCTAAAGTTGTTATTTCACATTATGACGCAACTGCATTGTGACATCAAAGTGTGACGTCATGTCAAAAATGGAACCTTCGCAAGGTCATGACCTTCAATTTAATTGATCGCAAATGAGAATAATCTTCTGTATAGATATAAGTGACATAGAACTATTGAGTATGTAGTTAGGGTGACACTCCAGAAAATTTCTGATTTAAGAAGTGACTATTTCCAATTAGACCCCCCCCCCCCTTGTTTATACAGAAACTAGCAATATCTGTAAAAATTGTTTGGCAGCTTTTCAAAAAATTTATAATGTAACATTTTATTGATATTCAAATACTGTATATTTCATACTTTGTGTTTTTTAAATTGAAAAAAATATTATTGTGTATGATTCAGGTTTATTTCTCTTGAAGTCCTGTTTTATGGTCGACCTGGTAGACATGTAATACTAAATTTACAATTACTTGCCCATTTCTACCAAATTCAACAATATGCACCAAAAGCTATGCACCTAAATACAAAAAATGAATTGCAAGAAAAAATTATTTCCTTTAAGGTAGCTAAACACAGTTTCGTATAAAATAATTCCCAGAGAGAAGCATGCTGGGTAGGGATTTTCCTGCTCTAGATATCATTTTTGTTTTCATTCACATATAGAATCTTATCTTAATATTTAAAGAAAAAAACCAACTTTTTAATAAGGGGAGATAACTCCCAAAACATCCGGTTTTATTGCAGAATTGCATGAAATTAGCAGGTAATTAGCTCTTTCATGAGGTGGAAAATGTACCCTGAAAGCACACTAAAAGAAAACCTTTTGTTTGAAATGCATACAACTTATTTTGTCTGATTTTTTCTGTTTTTGTTGAGCAGGGGGGTTAAAAATGCATAGGTGCACTGAAAATGGATGCATAAACAACCCAATATCCCCCATATTTCAGGTGTCAAATACCCCCTAGTAGTAATTGATGAATGTATTATAGTTCATATTTACAAAATTCACAATTTTATCTTTGAATGCATGTTGAACTCATCTGGAAACAACGTCATACATAAAACTCATGGAAAAATCCCTCTTGGAAAAATATCTTTTTCTGTGTGCATAATGCTATTAATTGCAATCAAAGTTCTGAAAGTTTTTGGGCTATTGTGACATCAAAGTGTGACGTCATGTCAAAAAGTTCCAGTTGGAAGCTTCGCAAGGTCATGACCTTCAATTTAATTGATCGCAAATGAGAATATGAATGAAATGAACAAAGAAGTCCAGTTCTGATTTAAGACAGTTAACACAATAATAGGTCGGTAATTATTCAGCACAATGTGAAGTAATCATACTCAGTCATGCCTCACCGCGCCCAATAGATAGGACAGTTAACCAAACAATGGAATTACATGTTTTGCTCTAAATTGTCCAAAAGCAGCAATGTATGAACTAACTCTGCTTTGAATTGTTTTTTGAAGCCTCCCTAGTATAAATATCAATAGTCATTTAATTGCGATTTTTTGTCTCTTTCATGTAAATAAAAAGAAAACTTTGAAATGAAAACTTACCTTGAAAATGCTAAACAACCCAATATATATTTCAGGTGTCAAATACCCCCTAGTAAATTGATGAATGTATTATAGTTGGATATTTACAAAATTCACAATTTTATCTTTCCATTGAGGTAGATAAACAAAGCTACGTAAGTAATTCTACCTACGTAGCTAAATCTAGTGATTGTACTGGACCTGTGTAATGCAATTGCTTTGTAAAACTTCCTCCTACGATTTTAGAGAATAAAGGGTTACTAATATAATATTTGAAGCAGCAAAGAAGATAGCAATTAAGGGATCAATCTTGAAGGTTTTTCCCCAAATCTATTTTTTATTTATAAATTAAAAATTTACCCTGATATAGACGAGGAATTGTGCACAGAGTCCAAGAGGGAAAGAAAAATTATGGAATGGTTGTTGGCATAATACAGACAGGAAATGAAAGTTGCGTCGATAAATACTAAGTTTCGTTTGATCGGAAATAATATTTCCGCAAAATGAATCGGACTGAAAAATTTAATTACAAATGACTTTTTAAGACCGCAGAACATTAACTGACAAGATTGGAAACATGCAGATTGCGTCATTTCTGTCTATTACAATCAAAACATTTGCTGATAGACAATGGAATGGGCGGGTACAATTCGATGCGGACGGCCGAGAAAACATTGGATTGAAATTCTAGCCAAGTTTGAAATTAATTTTCATTAATTTTCATATTTCCAATCTTGCTAATCAAAAGTTAATATTCCACGGTCTTAATTTTCCCCTAAAACATGTATTGAAATGAACAAAAGAAGAAGGTCAAGACAGGGAGTAATAGGTCCCTGGTCAAGATAAGACAATATTCCATTACGTTACAATGTCGATACCCAAGTTTTGTTTGAACAGGCTTTTTTCGATGTAACTAATTGAGTAAAATAAGAAAATCGAATAGCATCTTAACTTAAGGTTAACTTAACCATATCTCGAATACCTTAAAATGCAAAATCCTTTTTAAACTTAAAAAAATATTAAATTAAACCCAAGGGAAACCAGAGTAAAGTAAATTCGGGAAAACGCAAAGATAGGTAATTAGATAATCCATTCCATTCCATCCTTTGAAAAACACTTATTTTTAAAATGTATCTACGATTTACGACTTTGTATTAAAACACTGAATACAAGAAAACATTGTTCAACCAACAATTGCAAAATCCAGGTTGGGTCTTTAAAAGACTCTCAATACAGACCATACAGTGAAAATTAATTAATTCTTTAAAGAATTTCTCCCCCATCCCGTATATATTTAACAGACAAGTTAATTATATGAATGGTAAGAAAGAGTGCCTTTTCCTTATATTCATGGTCCTCTGATCTGGGACTCTGGCACGTGGTAAGGTGCGTTCAGTTGACACATATATCAAAATGTATCAATTCTTATTTATAAAATCTGGATCGATTTTCTACAATACAAGCTAAGTCCTGGACTTCTCCATAACAGAAAAATATCATGGCATTTTGGTCAAGGATTCTAAAGTTGGGCTCTAAAGATCATGTAGTGAAAGGCACACGATAAGTCTTTGTTCCTGGCCATGGGTTTTAAAAAAACTAAACTAAAATGCAAAAGTTATGTAGCGAATATAAGACTGTCTAACAGTCTAAATCTAGATAATTTTCTGAGTCCATCCTGATTTTTGGTGATTCTGGTGATTTTGGGGAACCAGGGGAACGGCATGACCCCCCCCCCCTAATTTTGCCAACATATAATGTATTATAAAAACATAGCTACTATATGTTCGTGCCCCCTCAATAAAAACGTCTGGTAACTTTTTTTTTCTTTTACTTTTCAAAGAATTTTGGGTAGTTGATAGTGCCCCACAATAGAAAATAATTATACTTTTTATGGCTGTGACCCCACCCCCCCTCCCCCACCCCCGAAAACTGAAATCGCTTCCTATGGGCATGTGTACTATATTCAGGTGCTTGTTACAGAACATGCTCCTCTTGTTTAAAATTTTCCATTTAAGAGAGTAAAGTTTTAATGGTGTAACATAGAATTTTAAAAAGGCATTAATCATGACAATACGGACAATATATCGATCAATCAGTAGAAAACCTGCTTTATAATTGCATATTCTATAAATAGATAACATCAATCATAAGTAATTTTGCATGATTTATTTGTTAAACCCAATTCATTCCCCTTCATCATAAATTTATTCACATATACAACATAGATAACGATAAATTAAAAATAAGAACAGTATACATTTGTAATGTCCTTGTTGCAATTTTTATTTCCCACAAACTAACAGCCACATGGAAAGTTGGGTCGACACCTACCAGTGTTTTGGTCGCAAAAACCTGAAAAATATTAAAATATATATTGTAACCAAAGATCAGTCTGAAAATATTAATTCAAGATCCTATCAAAATGCTTTCTATATGCTTTATATTCAGAATCATAATAATTCACTGCATTCCGTTCGTCACTTTTTTTTTACGATTATGAATTAAACAGTCCGATGTCAAAACACAATTTCCCTCCCACTTAGTTAGCAGGGAAGACTTTCCTAAATACCGGTATCAGTGACCATTCAAATGTAGGGATGTTTGAGCTTTTTTGAGGGAGTTTAATTTGATTAATTAGAGCTCTTTGCTTGCAAAAAATAATAAAATAAATAAATATATACATTCCGACGTGATTTGTAGTTGTATAATGTTTTCCATGAATTGGGAATATATATTATAAACATGCAAGTTCAGAAACCCTATAACTCATTTTACTTACTAAAGGCAAAAGGCCAACTAACAACTAAATTGTATGACAAACGAGAAGACTCACAACTTCCCTTATTCATGTAATAATATCCTGCTATCACCTGCATATGGTATTTATTGGTTAATCAAGGGCATGCCCCAAGTTGAAGTACTGCCAATTTTTAAACTGAGGCATGCCATTGACAAACAAGTTGATGTAACAGGTGTTTAAAATCAACAATGTCAGCATTATGTAAATTCTATGGTCTTGTTAGCAAATGTAACCCTTTATTGCTTCTTAAGGACAGATGATACAAACAAAAAATGGATGCCTGGATTGGTATATATTTTTTTTACTTTCATTGCAAATAATAAATTTCTAGAATAACATGACCTAAGTAGTTATTTTCAAAATTTTTGACAAAAGATTGCATCATATGACCTTAATTTTGCTAACTTGTCTCATACTAATTGTCAAGCCTTTGTTTTAATGCTTGACTTCGAAATATCAATATACTAGTATAAAGCTCCCGGCGTGTGATGTGATTTTTATCTTTAAAGTTTTTCATTTGGATCATATTTTCTGAATCAATTTTTTATACCTGGATGTCCAGTTGGGTTTGTCAGCAACTTGCTCTCCTTCAGAAAAACGACCATTTCATTGAATGTCCTTGTCATGTGAGAAGAGTCAATGAAATGACAGAGTGTTGGCAGGTCGTATTTCGTGGTGTTCAGACCCAGTTCTATTCCGTTACTAACACCATCGCCGTCAGAATCAGCTAAGCATAACTCCTTTGTAAACAAGCGACGACTTGCTTGAAAATCCTGTAATTAAGGTACATTATAATTTCTAATTTCTTGAAATTAAGGAACTTATTTTTGAAACATTTATTTTATTTAATTTATTTTTCATTTTTAGTTAAAGACGGAGGACACAGTATATAATTATATTCAATGAAAGTGTTTTTATTGAAAATAAATACTTACACATACTAGTACGCTGGTTTTTTTTTTAAATAAAAAGTTAATGTATTTCATTAACTCAATGATATTTTTAAGTTACTATATTAGAATATTTTCAACGGATAAAAATTAAAACTTTTTAAGATAAAAAATCTTATTGGGTCGACCAGATTGAAAAATAATACTCACTCTACCAAAGGCGTTGAGAGCGGTAGATGAAGGTGTGGTGTGTCCCACCCGGCTCCAGGAGCGCCCGGGGCAGCACGGGTGTGGGACACGGTCCCCGTTCAAAATGAGTTCCTTATATCGTGGGTAGAAGTGGGCAACTGTCACTAATAAACACAATATAAAAAGCTTGAAAAACATGTCGTCTGCTTAGGTGGCAAAGAAAGAATAAAAGTGAGATCCGTTTTTGAAAATGGAAAAAAAAACATATCCGTCTGTCAAAATGTAATGACGCTATTTCTTTGATGAGGTTTTTCCTTCGCCTGTCAGTGTAAAATGATTGTTTATTGTCCCATACATAGACTTCTCTTTATTTTAACCATTGTACATGTGTTGATTTCTAATTATTTTAAAAGTTCTAATAATGAAAAGGAAGAACCTACATTATATATAGGTATGAAGCTTAAAATAAACCCATGTGCTTTTCTTAAATTTACATTAACATAAAGTTAGTCGGCAACGACTAACCTTAAGGAGTTTTATGCAAGCCTTTCAAATTTTATAAAGGGATAATGATGTAGATGCCAGTATTATTCCATATTTCAAATCATCCTGGGTATAAAGAGGAACGAATGATTTCGAAGAACACTGTTTTCAAAATGTAAATGATAATAAATATTTTAAGCAGAACATATAGGTAAATTGTCTGATGAAAGATGAAAAAAGGTGAAGATAAAAAACAGAGACCGATGAAAAATCTATAATCGATACAAATTTGTGAAAAGGTCATAAAATACAGAATCCTGGAAGTTCCAGAAGTGGGATCAGGTGCCTAGAAAGAGTAAGCATCCCCTGTTGATCGGTCAAGTGAGCCCTAGTACTCACTGATCAAGCAGAGGAACATTCACTTAAAAGATACCGTTTTATTAATTATCGTAATTAGGTGTTTCATAGAAACATCTTGATAAAAGATGTCAATTAACATTATACACGGAAATACCGGTATTCTGAATGTGACGGATTTTCCTCTGTAATAAGTATAAATCTCGTAACCGCGACCTTTTTCAACTTACCAAGAGGTAATGTCCGAGGCAGATGACAGCTTATCTGATTTTGACAATGCTAATCACTCTAGTCGTATAACGGACTATTTTGTCATCAAGGAACGATAAAAAAAAAAAAAACGGTTTAACGAGACCAGAACAATTAATTAACGCAAATGGTGAATAATAATTCTCACCTGTATAAGGTGTATGGGGCTTAATTGAGGAACCTTTATTTTAATCATTTAGCATGGGTCACAAAAGTTGGATCACGAGATCTGTTCTTTCTAATTTTACCTTCACAGTAGTAAACTTTAACGAAAGTTTTTGTTTTGCGAAAATCAATGAAACAGGCAATGCGTCACCATATTGTTTTTTCAGTCATTATTTTCAATTGAATTATTCTACGTTTAAGAGATACAACTCCGACCGCAGCTGGACGAAGTTTTTCTGCATGTGTATGTAAAGTTGTAATTAAGTAATGGAGTGACAAATTAACTTTATTAACTGATGTACATACCAAATTAATATTGCTCTAATCAATTTTAATTAATGAGAGCAAGTATCAATTTGTTGCAAGCATCATATCAACTATGGAGAGCAACAACTGATTTGATGCGGGCATTGTTTAAGTTATTGACAAAGAAGTTGATAAAGCAAAGAATATCAGCAGTCTCGTTTTAGTTGATCTTTTCGTAAGTTCTATGGTCAATATAATGACCTTGTCAACAAAAAGAATTTATCATTAAATGCTGACTGATGCTGACTAATTGTAAGGCCATTATTTTCACACTGAGTTGTCCACGGATTTGTTTCGTTATTTCTCGATCATGACAAGGAGCACACGGCGGGTGTGGCCAGTCGGCGGGAATGCTAACTCCTCCATTATTTTTACACTGAGTTGTCCACGGATTTGTTTCGTTATTTCTCGATCATGACAAGGAGCACACGGCGAGTGTGGCCAGTCGGCGGGAATGCTAACTCCTCCATTGCACCTGATCCTACCTCTGATCTTTTGGAGGTCCATGATTGCTCCGCTCCTGATTTTATGTTGTTTAATGGGCTTAATGAAGACTAAAGAAGACATATTATTCTGAGGAACAATAACAAAAATTATATTTTGTGGATGATAACCAAAAATTAATAAGTTCATTAAAATAAATACAATTATCAAAAAAACTTGCGTTTATCACCTTCATCCATTTAATTGTGGGAGTAGTCATGAATGAATTCCCATCCCCGATGACGATATAAAACAATATACAATGTATACTTTACTCTCTAATTGTTTAAAATACATATGTGTTTTTTCCCCAGAGATAAAGCACGACCTTGTTTTAATCCAAATTGCTGTGGGTATACTTGCTCATCGGACAGGAAGTAGGTCTCAATGGAAATGGTTCATATCTTAAGACCGCGATCATTACTAGTTTTTGACCTTTGTTTCTACTTTTATTGCCAAGTTAGACGATAAGACACTTTGAGAATGTTTGATCTTTGCGTTGTGGGCGCAGGTTTTATTGGACGCCGCAGCCAAACATGCTCTAAGTTTTAATGTCTCTTGATTGGCCCGGATGAGCCCGACGGGTGAGTACAAGCAGGTATCAATTATGGAACCTTTTTAGCATATATTTTATATTAAATAAAGAAGATGAAATTCAAGTTAAATTCTTTTGGCCGGAACATCACGCAGCTGATTCAATTTTTAAAAACACAATACAAATGTACTATAAGAAGCAAGAAGAACACAAACAAAATTCAGAATATAAAAAGAAAACAAAACACATTTCCTTTCTCAGAAACGCTCCGAAGATTCGCCAAGGGACAAAATGGTGGACATTACGATGAGGGGGAAAAAGA